TTTTTTTGCGGTACGCGGGCCTCTCACTGTTGTGGCCTCTCCCGTTGCGGAGCACAGGCTCCAGACGCGCAGGCTCAGTGGCCATGGCTCACAGGCACAGCCGCTCCACGGCATGTGGGATCTTCCTGGCAACTACTGAGCTCATGTGCCACAACTGAAGCCCATGTGCCTAGAGCCCGTGCTCCACAACAAGAAAAGCCACCACGATGAGAAGCCCATGCACCGCAACGAAGAGTAGCCCACACTCGCCCCAACTAGAGAAAGCCCGCACACCGGAAGGAAGACCCAACACAGCTAAAAATAAATAAATAAAATAAATAAAAAATTTTTTAAAACCCTCAAACTATTAAAAAAAATTTCAGTGCTTTTAATTTTACTTTTTTTTTTAAAGTTTACCTAGGAACTCAATTTAAAAATGGACAAAGGATCTGAATAAACATTTCTCCAAAGAAGATATACAAGTGGCAAATAAGCACATGAAAAGACACTCAACAGGACTTCCCTGGTGGCGCAGGGGTTAAGAATCCACCTGCCAGTGCCCGGGACAAGGGTTTGAGCCCTGGCCCAGGAAGAACGGATATGCCGCAGAGCAACTAAGCCCGTGCATCACAACTACTGAGCTTGTGCTCTAGGGCCCGCGATCCACAACTACTGAGCCCGCCTGCCACAACTACTAAAGTCTGCACGCCTGGAGCCCGTGCTCCGCAACAAAACAACCCACCGTAATGAGAAGACCACACACTGTAACAAAGAGTAGCCCCCGCTCACCACAACTAGAGAAAGCCTGTGGTCAGCAACAAAGATCCAATGTAGCCAAAAATAAATAAATAAATAAATAAATTTATTGAAAAAAAAGAAAAAAGACACTCAACATTATTAGTCATCAGGGAACTGGAAGTCAAACCACAATGAGGTATCACTCCACACCCACTAGGATGGCTATAATCAAAAAGGTGTATAATAACAGGTATTGGTGAGGATATCAAGATGCTGGAGCCCTCATACATTGCTGGTGGGGATGTAAAATGGTGCAGCCAAATAGTTTGACAGTTCCTCAAAAGGTTAAACATAGAGCTACTATATGACCCAGCATTTCCACTTCTCAGTAAATACCCAAGAGAAATGTATACACAAAAATGTGTACATGAATGTTCATAGGAGCATTATTTAAACAGCCAAAAAGTAGAAACAATCCAAATGTCCATCAACTCATAAATGAGTAACCAAAATGTGGTATATCCATGTGAGAGAATATTATTCAACCATAAAAAGGAATGAAGTACTGCTATATGGTACAACATGGATGAACCCTGACAACATTATGCTAAGTGAAAGAAGCCAGTCACAAAAGGCCACATAATATATGAATCCATTTATATGAAATGTCCAGAATAGGCAGATCTATAGAACTAGAAAGTGCATTAGTGGTTCTGAGGAGCCGAGAGCAAAGAGGGATGGAGAGTGACTGTTGATGGGTATGGAGTTTCCTTTTGGGGTGATGAAAATGTCTTGAAATTAGACAGCATGTGATGGTTGCAGAATTCTAAATAAACTAAAAATCACTGAATCATACACTTTAAAAGGATAAATTTCCTGATATATGAACTATATCTCAATAAAGTTGTGTTTTTTAAAAAGAATTTGTGTGAGAGAAAAACTCTTTGGAAACATGGGATCCATGGAGACAGAGTATTATTAAAGGAAGCCTTTGATAGTGGTAACTACCGCTTAGAAGTGAAATTTATAAGGAATTACTTCTTGTTCTATCAAAATTGCAAATTATACTTTTACTCTGTATGTTAATAAATCCAAAGCAATTATATTATGATGTACCACCCACAAGTATGGTGTTAGTTAATTTGCATGTTCTCATTACAAGTATTTATTTCCATTAGGTATAAGGCAACCTGAACTAAATTTATCCACCATGATTCCATACTTCATTACTTTAGTAAAGATCTATCCCAACAAAAACACTTAAAACAAATGTTAATAGAAGAAATCTATGAAGGGACACATTTTCAAAGGACTACAAAGATATGAGATGGTATTTGATGTAATGCTAGTTACTGGGAATACTTGCTATATCTGGCATATTTATTTACTCATTAAAACTATTCATTTACATTTTCTAATCAGCATATGAGACCAAATTTTACTAATGTCTCTAAGTTGTTTGGAATTTTAATAACGCTATGCCCAAGTAAATTTTATTTTAAAATCAAATTCTAATATAGTGCAAAATGTTAAATGAATTCACAGCCATCACTGCAGTTCTAATTGCATGCTTTATCTAAAGACTGGAGAAGATTGTGCTAAATTATATGGAACCAACCTAGTGTTCACTGTTTAGGCTATCCATTAACTGCCAGTCAAACTAATAACAGCAATCTCTTCCCTAATTTTCATGGTGCAGCTGTTTATAGAATATCCTGGGCGTGTTCACTTCAATAGATACATAATAATGCACACATTCACAATGAAAGCTGTATTTTTTTGTTTTCAAATTTCCCTATGGACTGTACATTTTTTCTACCTTGCATATTCAACCACTTTCTTAAACTAACTGCTTTAAACAATCAGTAAATAAACTTAATTGCTATATTGTGGTTTTAAATTTAAAATCTACACTCCGAAGCCCAAATTCCAGGAAGACAAACCAAAAAAAAAAAAGGAAAGAAAGAAAGAAAAAAAGCCTAAAATACAAAACTCCTTTGTTCTTTTTAAACTGCAATACAGAAAATCTCCAGCAGAGACTGGTTATTTCTTTCCATGTGATTTACCAAGGAATGCCTATGTGACATTTACACTGACTTTCCTATAATGATCTTTGAAAGTTAAATAGATATTAATTTCATCAGCACTAACCAACCAGAATATTTACCATTTCTAAGTATTGATACATGACTCAGGCATTTCAATTACTCAATGCAGAAGATACACAAAATTATTTTTTTGTAATACTGTATACCAAAAATTCAGTTTTTTAGAACATTAATTAAAAAAAAGCTAAACTTATTGATCTGTATCAGTGGTTGCCAGTATTTTGGATTTCAAGAAATTAAAAAATTAAGCAGACCTCAATTTGCCAAGGAAAAACATTATTTTATGAAAGAAAGGACATCCTAACACTAGAAAAATAGGGCATGCTTTAAACTGATACAGAATAAAGGGCATCCTTTAAATTGATAAGATTTAGCATTAATAAAACCTTATGTCAGTCTCCTTATTTTTCTCACTTTGGCAAATACTACCAAAAACTTTAACACAGCCTAGCAACTGGGAACCATGCGTCTATATTCCATAAGCCTAAAAACACTGTTTAGATCACCTGTGCAACTATATAAATTCAATGAGCCTTGAAAAGCAACAACTTACAATTCCTGCCTAAGCCTTCTTATGAAAGAAAGGACATCCTAACACTAGAAAAATAGGGCATGCTTTAAACTGATACAGAATAAAGGGCATCCTTTAAATTGATAAGATTTAGCATTAATAAAACCTTATGTCAGTCTCCTTATTTTTCTCACTTTGGCAAATACTACCAAAAACTTTAACACAGCCTAGCAACTGGGAACCACGCGTCTGTATTCCATAAGCCTAAAAACATTGTTTAGATCACCTTCGCAACTATATAAATTCAATGAGCCTTGAAAAGCAACAACTTACAATTCCTGCCTAAGCCTTCTTATCTTGGCCTTAGCATCTGCCAGTTCCACTGACAGATGTTGTCGACTTTCTGTTCGTTTCATGCCTGGAGAACCACAAGGTGACTGTGCAGATGAAGAGGCATGGGGTGGAAAATGAAGACCATCCCGCTCTTCAGAGAGTTCAACGATAGTCTAAGGAAATAGAGAAATAAATCACAGAATCATTTTTAGTATTTTACGTATCAGAGAACCAAACACATCAAAACTAGTCACTAAGTCTAAGTATTATACTGCAACATCAAAAAAGAACTCTTTGGTCAAAAATAACTTTGTCATATTTAGCTGTCATTTTTTTAAGTTTTATCATAACTTTGTCGTATTTAGCTGTCATTTTTTTAAGTTTTATTCAACAGTAGACGGATGAGCTATTTAGTAGATAACACAAGAACAAGACAAGTAAATTGTGGTAAAATAAGAACAGATAGCAACTGTTGGAAAGGCATAAAAGACTTGTTGACATAGTAAAGAAATTAACTCAAGAGTGATGTGTCTATAATCGTGCTGTCCAACATGGTAACCAGTAGCACAAGTGGCTAATCTCAAATTTAAAGAGTTAAAAATACAGTTCCTTAGTCACATTAGCCACACTTCAAGAGCACAACAGCCACAAGTAGCTAGTGGTTACCGCACTGGACAGTGCAGAATTACAATCTTGCCATTCTTGCAGAATTGGACAACACTGCTCTAGAATTGTACATAGAAACCTCAGAGGGACCTAAAAAACCTCAGAAGTTTAGTTCAACCTCTTAATTCTGCAGCTAAGGTAACTGAGGCACAGAGACTGATTTGCCCATGATCTCACAACTAGTTCATAGCAATGCCAAGACTCCAGACCAGTCTCTTCACTCCATATCCTATGCTCTCTCTTACAATACTAGTTCTAATCTGCTTCCCATCTCAAAGCTTAACTTTATTCCTTTCTCTAGAGACCCACCATGGGACACAAATCTTCTATTTATCCTAAATCTGAACTTTAAGGGCTATTTAACCTACATGTATCTCACACAATCATATTCCTCCATTCCCCTAATTTTCCTCTTATTGGAAAATTCTCTTATTCTAAACCAATTTCTCAGATTTTCTTTCAAACTTCCCAGGCAAACAGAAATTGTCTTTGGTAGACATTTCATCTGTCCTTCTGCTCCAGATGGAATGGGTAGGGTTACACCTTAGGAACATGAAATCACCATCCTCACTTTGTCTCTCATCACCAAGTCTTACAATGCCCGCATTGAATCATTACTTTTCTTCTTCTTTTTTTAAACCACCCCTCAGAATTCATTTCTTTATCCTTGCAATACATTTGAGCACAAATCAAGGTCTGTCCAACTACTGCTTTCACAGATTCCAGTATTCCTATTGATAAACCTCAGAATATGACCTCCCAGTTCCCTTTCTCTCTACAACTCCACATCCACTTCCAATCCAATACATACAGGCTTCTCCAGTGAAAGAACCATTCCTCTCTTGCACCATATCACCATTCCTATGCCTGAACCTCTAATCACTCAGTTCCCCCTTTTTACCCAGTCAAATATATTATTCTTGGCTACCCTAGAGTTTCTACTCAGCCTGGAACTACAATTAGGCTGTTAAATGTCACCCTTACTTTCTAATTTAACACCATCATGCCATTTTTTTTTTTTTTTTTTGCGGTACGTGGGCCTCTCACCGCTCTGGCCTCTCCCGCTGCGGAGCACAGGCTCTGGACACGCAGGCTCAGTGGCCATGGCTCACGGGCCCAGCCACTCCGCGGCATGTGAGATCTTCCCGGACCAGGGCACGAACCCGTGTCCCCTGCATCAGCAGGTGGACTCTCAACCACTGCGCCACCAGGGAAGCCCACCATGCCATTCTTTGACTATGGCTCACTCTTTGAGGAAAAAACAAAAGGGAACTAATATTTATAGAACCCCTAGCTAGGGGGTTTTCCAACAAGATCTTAACCAATACTATAACTGGCAATAGAGGCTTTACATCTATTTTAGACATAAGGAAACTGAGGTGCACATAGATTAAATAACTTAACCAAAGTTACACATCTAATGGTTAGGTATAACAGGAGTTCAAATTCAAGTCTGACTCAAACACTATGTCATTTTCCTTACCTACCATCAGTTTTTCTATTTCTGCTCCAAGGTGATAAAGAACTCTAAAAAACAAAACAAACCAAAAAAAATATACAGCCCTACTACAGAAATTGCCATCCACTTTCAATTAAGCTCTTTCCAATGCCCATCAATTCTTTTATTGAAAATCTTGATGATTTCCTGGCAAAATTTTCCCACAATGGCTGTTCCCTTTTCTCTACATAAGCCCCCAACTACAAACTGCTATCATCACTTCCAACAAATGACCCCTTCTCCAACTTGTCAAAGAAACAAAACCACCTGTGATAAACTCCTCCGTTTTTATGCATCTCTTATTCCCAACATATATTCCTTACTTCTATAACATTTTCAATTTCTCTCTTCCTATTGGTTTTTTCTCCTTGTTCTTCAAAGACATACAAGTTTCTACTATCTAAGGGGAAAAAAAATCACCTTTTCCCTTTACTATCCTTCTACTATTTCTCTTTCAGTGCTACTTTTTGAAGGGTGGTTTGTTCACTAACATTACTTCATCTTGTCCATCTACCCAGTATGTCCAGCCCAACTTCCCTGTCTCTGTGAAGGGAGAGACAGTAACTCTGTGAACAGTGTTACTAATTTCCATAGTAGCCCAAGCTCAAACTTCACAGAATCAACTTTTATCTGTATATTTTCTTACTGTCTCAATTGTCTTTAATCTTGCCTTCTAACATATCCTGTCTTTAACAATAACACCTGCACACAGTATTAACTAAATATCTCTTTCATGCACAAACTAGAACTTAATTTTATGCCACCTTACAATTTTTCATTTACAATGTTTTTTTTTAATAAACCAGATACAATCTTTCTTATGCTTCCTTGGTATCCCTGATGTTATCCACCATAGTAGTGTGCACAAAAAGAGCTGCTCAAAAATATTTAACTGAATGATTCACAAAACGGAAAACTCAAGAAAAGTACTGAATACACATATTATGTTTGAAATTAGCAGGTGGTAAAAGTAAAGTATCAAGAACTTCCAGATGCCAACAAACAGAGCACAAAAGATCTATGGGCTGCAAAATATTTTTTAAAGAGAAAGAAACCTGGTATTGAGAAATAAGAGTATCCACAGATATTTTCCATTAAAGATTATGTAGACATTTTGACTTTTCTCTAATAGTGGTAGTTTCTTGAGCTCAAGAACTCCAAACATTTTCAAAAAATCTGACAGGAAATGTTGTTAAGGCATACCTTTAATTTCTAAAGCCTTCTCTGATTCTT